ATTTTAGGTTTTGAATGTAACTAATAAGCTGTGCTGTCTTAGACTTTATTGTGGATGCATTCTTCAAGTGACTGTAAGATGTCAGATCAAAGGCTCTATCAGTGCATCAATGGTCCAGAAAGGTTTACAAAGATGAAAAAATCCCCAAAACCTGTGATCTTCATAAAACTCTTTTGTTTTTAATTTGATATCTAAGTGCTTAACAAAAATATCAAACTCTACACTTTGCACAAAGATAGTCTTGTTATCAAAATGGCTCACACAACAGAGAACAAGGGAAAAAGTAATAGGTAAGTTGTTTAGAACACGCTAGGCTGTGCTATATTTGGGTCAAATTCACCAATACAGCCCAGCTGGTTGTTCTAATCTCCTGTTTCAAAGCAGTCTCATTATCTAAGACAAACACCTGTCAGGGATGGTCTAGGTCAGGGATGGCCAACCCGTGGCTCCCAAGTCGCATGTGGCTCTTTGTGCCAAGGAATGCGACTCTTGCTAGTTCGGAGCCATGAGCGCAGACCGCTCGTTACTGGCTGCTCTGCGCATATGCTCCAGTGCCTGGAGATGTGTGTGGCTGTGGTAGTGGCTCCTGTGAGACCTAGGCATTGGGTTAGAGCGGGGGGAAGCTGGGAGTGACTGGCTTTGGGGGAAGGAGTGGGCACATTGGGTTAGAGCAGAGGGACTGAGGGTGCCTGGCTCTGGAGGAGAGGAGGGGCATTGGGTTAGAGCAGGGGAGCTGAAGTACCTTAAACTCAAAGTCTTCATGGATGCAGAATGAGGTAGCCAACACAGATATATTTAAATTCCAGGGCAAAAAAAGAATCAGCATGTACCTGGTTTACACTGCATTTCTTAAAAGAAAATTTAAAGGCTATTGTTTGACAGGCTGAAGCAACTATTCTGAGATATGGGTCTCTCCCTTATTGTTTTTGAACCTCTCATATTTGCAGTCTGGGACAGACCTGAATTTTTAGAACTATAAAAACGCCATAATCTTCATAAGTAAAAAAAAAAAAATGCGAAAACCACTCCAGAGATCAACAAGCTGGAGTGAAACAGGCACTTCAAATTGTGCTAATTTACTTCTCAGTTCAGTTTAATTTAAAAAATACTCCCAGGACATAATAGGGCAGTAGTCTTAAATTTAAAAGACATGGTGAGGATGCTTTTTTTTTTAAAGTGTGAGAATATTACTGTATTTTTAAAGGGTTTTTTTTTTTTAATTTGAAGTTTGTTCCTTGTCATGTTCTCGGAAGATTTATGGACTGTCCGTGAACTTTTTAAGTGACTAGAGACTTTTTTATTGTTTTTTGTCCTAAATGCCCTGTAATGTTATATTTATCATTACATTTTGTGTGTTCTCTCTCTCTCTCTCTCAAAATAAATATATAATACATGGCTCTTTGCACTCTATCCATAGCTATTTCGGCTCTTCATCTCTAACTGTTTGGCCACCCCTCGTTTAGGTGGTGTTTGGTCCAGCTATGAATTCAGGGGACTGGAATTGATGACCTCTTGACATCTCTTCCAGTCCTGGGAGTCTATGATTATAACATAACCAGACAGCTAAGGGAAATCTTGGCAGATATGGATTCTTCATAGAAGCTCTGATGCTGTCCCTTTTCTGACATTCAGAGCAGGCATATAGCTAAGAGAGAGAGATTGGGCCAAGATGTCTATGTACCTGGTTGATCCCAAGTTGCTGGCCTGGCTCTCACTCTCATTCATGTTTGTGTAATACTATTGACAAGCGTGTAATAAAACTGTTACAATAAATGAGAAGCTCAGGTTTTTTTTCTGGGTTCTAAGATGCTTAAAGCCCAGAGAGAGCTTTTGCTGAATTAGTTCATTATACCTACTCCTGGAGTTTCATGAAAATCAGATGTCTATGCATCTGTTAGCTCTATCAGGTACCTTCAGTGCAGCTGAATGCATACCCTAGTGGGAGTAGAGAGAGCTGCCCTTTGTTCTTTTCTAGTAGGGTAAATTCATCCCTATTTCAATGGACTGAACAAGCTGTATGCACTCCTGAGGTCCATTAAGCCTTTTCATTCAGCACCAGAGGGGTTGAGCAATTGCATTTCAGCTCCACGGGCCACTAATGTGGAGTGGCACTGTGTTCCATGGCCAGTGTATCTGTGAACAAAGTCCTATGCTATGGAAGGACCAAGTAAACCTTGACTATCCCTGACAGGTGATGGGGAGTCCACAGGCTCTCTAAGAAGTTTATTTCTGACCTTAAAAGACACTTACTTGCATTGTTACTTTCGAAAGAAGGCGTTCTTCCTCGTGAAACGAGGTTTACCGCCATTGAAAGAAAAGCCGCGTTCTTTCGAAATTATTTCGAAAGAACGCGGCTTGAGTCTGGACGCAGGGGAAGTTTTATTGGGAAAAGGCTACTTTTCCCGAAAAAACCCCTGAGACTGGACACAGCCTATGTGGCAGCATAGGATATTTGTGATGTCAGAATTTCATTTTTTTAAAGTGTAGTAGTGTATACCTTTGTATATCAACTGAGAATTTCTTCTGCACATGTGCACTGTTAACCAGTTGGTACAAAAACGTTTTTCATCAGAATCTCCTCGCTTTGGACTAAGATTCCAAAAAGTAAACGGACAAAGAAATAAAATACTTGAGACAAAAGGTGTGTCTAAATTATTTCAGGCTATACAGAGATTCTTTCCACATTCTTTCTCTTAATCTGTAATCAAGTGTCTCAGCCTCATTTGCAGAAATATGAATCCTGAGGTGAGGGTCATCATAAACCTGCAAAAATATGTTTTTGTGGAAGATTGTTAAAGATAGGAATAAATCAGCTCACTTGTTCATTGTTTATTCAGCATGACTATTGTAATTTAGCAGTCCTTTTAATGGATTAGCCACGGCATGTCTGGGCTGTTCCGCTGCCCCCGTGCTCTGCGGCTTTCCTCCGGACGCCTGTGGTACAGCAGTTGGGGCACTGCCGGTTGGTCCCATAGTGCCGCTCTGGGCGCCACTGGACCAACCAAGCAGCACCCCAGCTGCTCTGCCCCAGGTGTCCCCAAGTCAGCCACTGCTGAAACTGACCAGTGGCTGACCACAGCAACTTAAGAACAAACCTACAGTCCCTATCTTGTACGTAACCCGGGGACTGCCTGTATTCTGAATATTTAGGCAGAATCAGGTAGGCTTTGTTTTTAATGTTTTGAAAGACACTGTGTGTCTGCAGGTGCTCCTAAACCCAGCTTCTTTAACAGGCTGTTAGATTCACATGTTCGAGGTGACCTCCTTGCATCCTCTTTGGGAGTAAGTGGGGGGGCTTTTTTTGGTTACATATATAACAATATATAGTTACTCAAAACTGAAGGATTCATGAGAACCTATAAAGTAAATGTTGTATCAGAACTTACCGTTACAAAAAATAATTTGGATATGTGTCATAGACTGTGTCACTGAAAGCCTGTTCATTAGAAAGACAGGTCATGATCCTGGATGACACACTCAATGAATGACCCTATCAGCTTGATGATAGTACCACTGAAATCACTGGGGGAAAGATGAATACAGAGATCTGCCCATACATTGCAACTTCTAGGATTGAAGTCACAGATTGTAAATTCCTATTACAAGTAATACATAGGATTGAAGTATTACAAAGGACATAATTCATATTAAGGAACATGCAGACATTCTGTGGAAAATTTGTAAAATGGTCAAGTGAATTCTGTGATCTGATTTCTGGAATTAATACATAAAAAAACATCTTGTGTTATTTTGACTGCAAAAGAGGGCATTTAAAACAGCATAAATCAGTTATTCTATCATAATGCAATTCACAAATAGCAAATGGATTTATATCAAAACTTTCTATCATAATTTCTGTGCTGAGAAAAATCATACAAAATTTAAGATCAAAAGATGGTAGATGAAAAAAAGTCACAAGTTACCTAAAATAGGGAGTTAATAAATGTAATGTCATTCTTGTATACATTGTTGGTCACAGAGCACAAGGTTTCCATCTCTTCCAGAAAGCTGGTGATGTTTAATCCATATAACACGTTTGGATAGTTTGCCCCCTTTTAGTTCTATCATCTCTCTCCTCTCTGCTTCCCTCAGCATATATCCAAACTTCATTGCTCATTGCATTGGTCCTTTTTGTCTACCAAAGAGCATCAATTGCCTCAGTGAAATTCTATGATATTTAATGTTACATAATAATTATCACAGAGATGTGGGACTGGAAGGTACCTTGAAAGTCCTATGCTATGGAAGGACCAAGTAAACCTTGACTATCCCTGACAGGTGATGGGGAGTCCACAGGCTCTCTAAGAAGTTTATTTCTGACCTTAAAAGACACTTACTTGCATTGTTACTTTCGAAAGAAGGCGTGTTTACCGCCATCGAAAGAAAAGCCGCGTTTTTTCGAAATTATTTCGAAAGAACGCGGCTTGAGTCTGGACGCAGGGGAAGTTTTATTGGGAAAAGGCTACTTTTCCCGAAAAAACCCCTGAGTCTGGACACAGCCTATGTGGCAGCATAGGATATTTGTGATGTCAGAATTTCATTTTTTTAAAGTGTAGTAGTGTATACCTTTGTATATCAACTGAGAATTTCTTCTGCACATGTGCACTGTTAACCAGTTGGTGCAAAAACGCTTTTCATCAGAATCTCCTCGCTTTGGACTAAGATTCCAAAAAGTAAACGGACAAAGAAATAAAATACTTGAGACAAAAGGTGTGTCTAAATTATTTCAGGCTATACAGAGATTCTTTCCACATTCTTTCTCTTAATCTGTAATCAAGTGTCTCAGCCTCATTTGCAGAAATATGAATCCTGAGGTGAGGGTCATCATAAACCTGCAAAAATATGTTTTTGTGGAAGATTGTTAAAGATAGGAATAAATCAGCTCACTTGTTCATTGTTTATTCAGCATGACTATTGTAATTTAGCAGCTTTTAATGGACCCCCCCCCCCCAAAAAACAATTATTCTAATGTTTTGGCTGAAGCTTCTTTTTTCCAACAGACTCTACCCACTTTAGGAATTTCACTCCCTGAGGTGCGTAAATAGAGGTGTGTGTGTGTGTGTGTGTGTGTGTGTGTGTGTGTGTGTGTGTATATATATATATATATATAAATAACTGTAAAAGGATCATGATATTGCAACATTCTTCTTGCAATAAAGTGCATTTTGGGGCTAGCCTAGTGGTTTAGTAGTGGATGACCAGTTTGTCATAAACAATAACTATTTCAGTTTGTATAAAACAATAACTATTTCAGTTTTCAGGTTCTTTCTCTCTCATCCCCTGGATCCGCAGGGGACAGAAGCATTCTGGAGGCATTGCTCCAAGGTATTCAACAGTGATTCCCTAGAGTGATATTGATCAAAGTTCCGGATAGTGTGACAAAACAGGGATTAAAAGGCAGAGAAAAATGGGGATAAAGAGTGGGAAAATGGATAGAATTAGAATACTCTCTTGGTGTTAACAAGGTTTATTTTGAATGTTATCAACCAGAAAAATCGACAGAAAAAACGAACAATCTGATTTTTTTTAAGCCATCAAAATGTACATTGTGCAATTCGCTCAAGTTCACCCATGTCCATCAGACAAAATAATTAACAGCTACATCGTTCATTTTATATGTCCTAATAAAAAAATCATTGACTAGAACATAGCTGTAATACAAATGCCTCCTGCCTTGGAAATAAATGTGTGCATTTTGCAATTTCATTTATTTTAAGTCTCAGCTTTGTCAGCATTAATTTAGAAGTTGTGCACCACTATTTGGAAATGATTTTACTAAATTGTTATTATCTCTTTAAAAATGACATTTTTAAAGTTTCTGATAAAACTTTGGATATCATAGTAATATTCATAGTAATATTCAAATACTTCAAATTAAATTGAAATTAGAAAGGAACCTTCATTTAGATGTTGTTTGATAAAAGTATACAAACATCAGTGCTGGGGATTTAAGAAAAGACATTTGTCCATGAAATGTAATTGTTTTCTATTTGTATTAATGCAAACATACAGTAAATTATTAAGATGTAGGTAATAATATAAATGTATATACACTATGGGCCAAATCCTTTTTGGTGAAGTGGACATTAAAACGTATGCCAAGCACCTGGGTTGTGGAATAGAAGGTAGAGAGGACACTCTTCTGGTTCTTAATGACTTACATTCTGGTGTCCTATATGTACCTAAGATAGATGGCAGGAAGTACAGAGATTGTTTGGCTAGCCTGTGTACATGATGGACCAAGATTAGGCAGTTCATGATCGGAAGCACACTGCAGCATGCCACTCACTCTCTTTCTACCGGTACATCCCTTTTCCAGCAGCATCACACCCACAGTCACTTTAAAAATGACAGCAGGTGCCTTATAACATTAGGAAATGTTAGGAAACATTATTTTAGTTCTGTACATTTATGATGTTTAGAATTGCAATTTGGTGTATTGCAACACCGTTTCTGAAACAGATATTAGATGCACTGAGGCTGTGCCTTGTGGGAAAGCCCTATACAGGTTATATTCAATAAATATATTTTTATAAATCACAATAAAACAATAACTATAATAGATATGTCTTCTGTTCTGTAAATTTGCATAACACATACTAGAATTCTATAGCAGTAATATACATTTTCCATTTTTTATATGGCATAGCTATATGAGAGAAAACTCACATGTTTCTGTTAAAGACTATAGGATCTTTCTGTTTCCAGCGTATAGAGAAATTTTATAATATGACTGCAGGAGACACTTTCTTGTACAGTTAGGCAAATTGTAGTCTAGTTTAAAGCACAAGTAATAAAATCTGGATAAAGGATGTGCTGGAAAGGAAAATATCAGCTGTAGTGTGGACTGAGGGGCTTTGCTGTTATCTGTGTTTCACGCTGGGATTAAAAAAAAACAACCGTGCTTGAGGTAATCATCACTTGCTGCTTCTAGTTTGTGAATAATCAATAGCAGCAGGTTTGGGCATTGTGGTAAACATCCCTTTTGTTAAGACCATTCTGTGCAATGTAAAAATACTTCTTCGCTGAGAAACAGCACAGTATAAAATGTGACTTTTAACAACACATTAGGAATAGACCTATTTTTAAAATAATGTATTTTTTCTTTTAAAAATTATTTCCCCCTTTATATGTTGGATTTTACCACTTTCCCTTTTATTAAGTCTCCTGGAGTAACTATACAATATGTTGCTTATTTTATCACTGGTTAAGGTTTGAATTCTTCTCTGACCACATACGTCTGTCCTTAAGCCATTTTTGTATATCAGCCATAAATGGTTTGAGATTTGAAAATATTGCAACCTCAAGAGCCATATTTGATATTTTGCACCTGTGTGTTACAAAACAAAATCCTACTTAACTCAGGTGTTTTCTCTTGATAATTATTTCCAAAGTTGTTTAGCATGTAGAATATTTCTTGCTGTGTAGAATTCGTTTTAATATTTGAAATTTTCTCTCGTTACTCATATGATTAACGGGTTACCCATTTAAAAATTCTAGAGTGGGCTCAGTAGATTAGTGCAATGTGCACCTGAGTTTTACTCTTGTGTTAGATAAAAAATGAAAATAAGACTGGTTCTCTCATCCTGGTCCCAATTTGTAAAATCATAAAAACTATGTGTGGTTATTATGCTTGGGACAAAACAAAGAGTATGTATTTTGCAGGCCAGTGTTGAGATGTATTTCAGGGGCTATTCAGCTAAGCATGTACAATGCCTGACTAACACTTTTAGCTTGTTCCTTGACTAAGCATTAAATGTGCTTTGATATTCATAACAACTAAGTTATGGGCCAGTTTCTTGGCCCAGTGAAGAAGCATGTGCTCACACAAGTATGGAGGAGACTTGCAAGCTCTTCTGAGCATGTTCCAAACTCACTGAGATGCACCTGCAAGGCTTGTTCAGGCTGGAGGAGGAGATTTAAGAGGAGGGAACTTAGCAGAGAAAGGGGTAGTGAACAGGAAGCAGGGCTGTTAGTGTGAAGCGCAGAGGGTGATACAGATAGTCCTTCAGAGGAGGAGAAAGCAATGAGATGCACCCTCCTAAAGCAATATGCCCTAGGAAGAGGAATAGATGGTAAATCCTGTGAAAGGGTAATAGACTCTGGGGGTGCATCTGCACAGCAGCATTATTTTGGAATAATGGCCATTTGAAATACATTTGAAATAATGGGCAGCTTATTCCAATTTCTGTAAACCTCATTCCATGAGGAATAATGCCTATAATGAAATAGCGATTTCAGAATAGCTGTAGTGTGGACACTCCACTGCTGCTATTTTGAAATAGCTCCTCTCCAGGCCATTCAAAGTAATTACTCCCCACTGCCTCCTGAGGCTTTTAATCCACATTAGGGAAGTCCACCTTGGATTAATTTTGAGGCTTCCCTGTAGTGTAAATGTGCTATTTCAAAATAAGCGATTTTGGAGCATTTCTTCCAGAATAGCTTATTTCAAAATAAGCATGCAGTGTAGACATACCCTGGGAGACGAAGCCCTTAAAGCTGAATATTCCAGGCTGCCTGACACGCTGTCCTTCTCTCTCACAAGGGGAAGGGAAAAGGAGAAACCAATCCTTTGTCCCTGTGTGGCTGCCTCACAAAGTGCACCAAGTGCTAACAGTTGGGGGAGAAAAGAGGGTAAACAGTGAACAATGGAAGCTGAGGAGCTCCAGGGAGCTCTTCCCCAGCACACTATAATTCTATTGTACTGGCACAGTCACATAAAGTATCGAAAAGGTCAACTTAATTGGCCTTTTGAAGATTCTCCCTGTATAGAGAAAATATCCAGCAAGTACAAAGTGCCATATTTGTCCAGTGCTACATAGCTGTATCCTCCTATTGAAGGTCAAAGTGCTATTGTATCCATGGGTGCTGGAAAGGTCTCTTTATGGCCATAAGCAGTCAGGTACAACTTAGAGCACCCTGAGGCAACTTGGAGCACTAATTTTTGCCACAGCAAGTATGCTCCCTGGCAACCCCCTGATTTGAGGAGTACAAAGATGGTACCAAGACATATAACAAGTGCTGTGCAGGCATTGTATTAAGCTGAAAACCTGTCAACTATGTCAAAGAATCTGTGTCAAAATTTCTTACTAATTATTTTAAGCTGCTTGAGAAAGAGTGGGACAAAATAATTGCAGTGAAATCCCATTGGCTTTGTTGAAAGTACACCAGGGATTGATTTGCCCCAGTACATAACATAAATTATTGCATTTAATATATTGCTTATTGAGCACAGTTTGAGGCAAGTGTGAGCAGTGGCACAAAAGTGTCC